GGGGTCTGCTTCCAGTGTGGAGAATGTGCTGTCTCAAGCTTTGCGGGCTTTGTGTAGCTGCTTTCAAAGATTCTTCCAGAGATCTGTAAATTTTCAGTTCTTCCAAGCTGGTACAATAAAGGGTGAGATGCTTACTTCTTTCCTGGCCTGTACTGTGTTCTATGAGTGAACACAAACACTCTTTTCTGCCTTGGAACCATGAGGAGGATTCCCTCTCCACCACCACTACACACTCCACCAAGCCAGTGCTCCTCCTCACCCCAGGACCGTCACCAAGAACTGCGACCCAAATCCAAGCACAGGTAAAGCAGGAGAGTCCTGCCTCAGTACCAGCAAAGAGATCCCTGCAATTCCTCTATGATCAGTTACTTGATTCCCCTTCTGTCTGTGGTCTGAGAGCTCTGGAAGCATCTGCGGCCTTGGGACTGCACTGGGACTGGGGCTGGGACTGAGCTTCTCTTTCACCTCAGTCACCAACCTTTCCTCCTGACCTTCTAAGTTGTCTTTTGTGTTTGTGGGTTGAGAAGTCTGGAAACCACAACAGCTGCCCATGATTCAATCCTCTGAGGCCTGTTCCAGGTTTGCTGAGGCCTGGCCTTTAATTGTGTGTCCACTCTGAGCTATGTTCCTCTCCCAGCCTAGCACAATAGACCTTTCCAATCAACCATCCAGGTTATCTTGGGCTGGAAATTTGTTTCACTCTGTCTTTTTGTGGGTTCTGCTGCTTTAGAATTTGTTTAGTGACATTTTTTACAGGTATTCGGAGGGATTTAGGGGAGAGATCAAGCAAGTCACTGCTTTTGCTCCACCATCTTGGCTCTGCCCCTTGTTGTTTTTTTTTTTAAACAAGTTCCAGAGATATTCAAGATATTCAAGGATATTCAAGGCAGAAAGCACAGTCAGAGTCCCTTGTAACTCACACAGAGCTAGGCAGTCGCTGAGGCTCCTTCCAGCTCTACTTGCTCTCATCTCACAGCTGCCAGGGGGTCAGCTGTGACCAGCCCAAGGGAAGCTCCATGTTGGAGAGGAGGAGGAGCAGCAGCAAGTGGTCTGAGATTCCCCAGGGAGCTCACTCATCATGGACAGTCCCCGTTTTCTGGACCATAGCAGTGAGTATGGCTGTTAAGATGCCTAGAAAGCATCAGTAGGGATGGCCAACAAGAAGGGTGGAGGCCAGAGCCAGAAGCACACTCCTCATGGGTCAGGAGCTGTTCAGAGCCATGAGCAGCAGGGGAAGGGAGGGAATCCCAGCACCCCAGAGACCTTGTGTTCACTGAGAAAGACAACATAGTAGCCCAGGAACAAAACCCCAAAGCCAATACCTCTACATGAGCCCTTCTGGTCTCAAGGCATGACTGCAGAAAGTTGGGGAGAAGCAAGTCCCTCCCAGGTGTTCTCTCTGGCTCCACCCTGGATGACTCAGGCCAGCACAGCCTCCTCCTGGCTATATTTTACACCACTCTTCTGTGGACTCTCAATGTTCCAGCACACTTGACTTCCATTACAAAATTTTTCAGATCAAGCCATACCTGATAGAGAATTTACTAGGGTCTAGGTATTCTTCCTTCCTTATTGACCTGCCATCATCCCCCTCCATACATTTACACTGGAGGATCCCTGCAGAAACCCTCTTCCTGCCAGGCTCAGCTCACTTTCCACCTCCCCCAAGAAGCCTTTCCTCATGTCCCCTTCCCCTGCTGACAGCCCCCTCCTCAAACTATCTTAGAGTCCTTTGTCCTAGGTCCAGCACTGAGCCACCGAGCTGCCCAATTCACTTATTGGCTGGGATTGAGTGGGAGGAGCAGCTAATGGAGCCTCAGAGGAGGAGCAGTGATTCCCATCTCTATTGCATTTGAAGGGTCTTTCCTCAGGACAGCCAGAGAAGCAGGGAATGCTGGGATTAGTACCCCCATTTTACAGATGAGACAATGGAGAGTCATAGAGCTGAGGTGACTCCCCTGAGATCACACACTGAATACTGGAGCTGGGATTTGAATCCAGACTTCCTGATCCCAAGTCTAGAGCTCTCTCCTTTCCTTGACCCTGCCCCTCTAGCAGAAGCTGGAAGCCCTGGGAGAGCCCAGCTCCCTTTATGTCTGGTGAAGGGCCCAATTCTTTGTTGCCTCCAGACCTGAGAACACTCTGCAAGTTCCTTGTCTCAGGTCCTATCCCTGGGTCTTCTTGGTTCCCCCTTTCTTCACAGGCTCCTCAGAGAGTCTAGCGGGCTGAGTTTCCTTCCCAGGTATCAGCTACTACAGTGTCCTGTGCTAAGGAGGGGGAGCCATGTTCTCGTGCCCCCACCCCAGTCTGGGCTGTCCTCCTCCTGCTCTCCCCCTCATAGAACCTCTCTTTTCCTTCAATATGGCCCTTTTAACAGGACTTCCCCCAGGAAGCCATCCCCCAGATGCCATCGTCTGCTAGTTCCCTCTCTCCCTAATGACCTAGTATTTAACTAGAGGGCCTGCCTGGGAGCCAAGAGGACCTGGGTGCTAGTTCTGCCTCAGACATATTGTTTAATACTGGGGAAGCCACTTCCCCACTTAGTGCCCAAGAGAACTCTCTAAGCCTGGGATTGGAGGACAAGGTGCCAGCCTAAATTGATGGAGGGGTAGCCTTCTCCAAGAATAGCCTCTAGCAAGGAAATCATCAGGATAAGGCTGACCCCTCTTCTTGTATTTCTTCCACATAAATGCATACATGTTTCCCCAATAGAAAGTATTCTCCTTGAGGTTGGTGACTTATTCTTTTTTTGCCTTTTATGCCCAGTCCTCAGCCCAATGGCTTTGCATGTAGTAGGTGCCTAATTAATCCTTGTGGATAAACAGGTTGATAATTACTAGGTTTTTCCTCCCACAGTATCATCTGCCCAGGAGCTGAGGGACAGGAAGACCACTGCAGATGACCAGCAGGGCCCTCCCTTAATGCTGGCTTTTGCCTCTCACCTGTAGCCATTGAATCCATCCTGCCACAGTCTCATGTCTTGGATAATTTCCATAAGGCACACCATGAAGGAAAACCCCCAGATGTACTGAGCTGTCTCTCCTCCCCCACAGATCACACAACCTAAGAGCTAGAAACCCCCAGAGGCCTCTGGGATTCTTTGCTTCTGGGCCTCAGAGGTCATCTTGGCCAACCCAGGCCTGATTAGGGCCCCTCAGTCAAACATCCCTAGCAAATGGTCATCTAGTCTCTGCTTGAAGATTCTCAGTGCTGGGGAAGTGACTCTCCTCTGAGGTAACCCTCCATGGCAGGAGGCATCTAGGGCTTGCCATGGATTGAATGTTGGATATGGGGGTCAGGAAGGCCTGAAATCAAACCCTGCCCCAGCTACTGACTCACTGTGTGACTCTGGCCATGTCACTCAATCTCTCTTTGGATCATTTTCCTCATTTATAAAAATAGCACCTATGTCACAGAGTTTTTCAGAGAATTAGATGAAATATGATACATAGAGCACCTTGCACACCTCCAGGCACTATATAAATCATAGTTCTTGTTAGCCATTGCCCAACTGGAAATCTCTCCTGTAGGAAAGGTGGCCCAATTAGGAGCCCCAGATGGCCTCTTTGCTCAGTGGGATATGTGTGAAGGGGTTTCATGTGACTGCACATCAATCTGTCAGCCCCAGTCTCTGTACATGACCCAAGAGTTCAGTGTGTGACACATTTTAAGCTCCTTCCATGGACTAGATTCATAAAGCATCTGCCAGTGCGGAAGGTGAGACGCTGAAGGGAGAGATGAGTCAAGGAATTGTTGTGGTTGAAGATGGAAATCACATCTTAGACCTGGAGAGAATGTTAGAGTCACTGAGTCAAACATCCTCAATTTACAGATGAGGAAATTGAGGCCCACATACCATAATCGATGTGAGCAATATTAAATAGGAGACAGCAGAGGCAGAATTTGAACCCAGATCTTCTGGCCCAAACCCAGGGAGGGTCTTTCCCACTAAACCCTGAGCACATTTTAAGGCCAACAGAGTTTGGCTTCCAAACAGCTTTGGGAAGAAGGTGGTGGTCCAGGTAAAACACAAACTAAGAGGGGTAAGTGACATGTCTATAGTCACAAAACTAATAAATATCAGAGCTGGGGTCCACCCCTGGGTCTCTGACTGTAAAGACTCCTTTAGCTTCTTCAGAGGTTGCTCAGCTCCAGGACTGGACATTGCCCTGAGTCTCAGGCATATGGACTGATAAACCTGAGCAGCTATTTCCCCTCAGCCCCTGGCTCAGAAAAGACACCCCTGGCCAAGTCTGCAGACACTGTCTATGGGACAGACCCCCTGGGACTGGTCTCCTTCCCCCTGGTATGTACATTGATTGACTTGTCTTTATCTGGGCTAGAATCCCCCAAGCTCCCCATGCTCCCCTGGGCTCCAGCAGAGCAACTGTCTCACCTCTGATCAGGAGCACCATCCAGGGGCTGCCTCCACTGTGGGGATCCAGTGAGGATCTCTCCATAGGTCTGTGCTGTCCACTGTGTGTGACCACCTCTCTCTCCTTGCCAGGAGTCTCTGCCTTCCTCTCCTGAGCTGGGTCTGCCATTTACAGAGTCTAAGTGCAGACCCTGGAGGTGTGCCTGCTGGGGACCAGGCTCAAGGCTCTGTCTCCTTCTCCTTCCCTAGAGAACTGAGGTCTCTCTCTTCAGGGCTGGAACTCTTCTATCTGCCAGGTTCACATGGGCCCCACATTACGGGGACTTGACCTCTGACTTTCTCCTCCCTCCCCTTTCCTCCTCTTTCTTCCCCTCCCAGTTGCTGTGGTTTCCTGGCTCTCCCTGGGAGCCCCTCCACTGCCCAGATCCCTCCCACTGTCCGTGGAGAAGTGGTTCTGTCCCCAAGGGGAACATGGGTCACTCAGTATTA